GTTCTTTGGTGGCCAGGATGGCCAAACTTCATCTCTCATACATCGGACATATTGTCAGGAGGGACCAGACACTAGAGAAAGATATCATATTTGGTAGGGTGGATGGAGTGTCAGAGACAAAGAGGAAGACTCTGAGCAAGATGGATTGGCAAAATGGCAGCATCAATGGGTTCAAGCGTGGCATCAATTGTCAGGTTCGCACAGGATCAGGCAGTGTTTCATTCTGTTGTGCACAGGGTCATATGAGTCGGTACTGACTCAATGCCACCTAACAACAATAGTGTCTTGGGGCATAGTTGGTTAAGCATTGGACAGCTAATAACTGCAATGTCATCAGTTCATACCCACCAGCCACTCCGTGGGATGAAGATGAGGCTGTCTGCCCCATAAAGACTTACAGTCCCTAAAACCCTACGGAGCAGTTCTATTTAGTCCTGTGTGGTCACTATGAGTTGGAATCAACTGAAACGCAATGGGTTTGGCTTTCTGGTTTTTTCTGTTGTTAATCTTTGCCATCTTTTATGAGAAATAAGAAAATGTTCACAAAAACTAAGAAAACAAATGGAACATTACATATATGTAGCACCAACGTGGCATCAATGACTACAAATCTGAAAATTTGTAGCTTGCCCCTAAAACATGATTGAGCATCACGATACATGCAACAAACAATAAGTTATGTCCTGTATTTCAGCTCCACAAAGTAGTACAGAGTCAAAACCGATGTAGAAAGTAGAAATAATTTGTTACTTTCTTTAATATTAAACATAATTGAAACACTGTAAGTGGTGTCAAACTTAAAGATGATATTTATAAAGAATTTATAACACTATTTTACCATTATAATTTTATTTCGGTCAGAAACACATTATTTTAGAAATTAGATAATTATTAGGAATATTCTAGATATAACAACAGCATTGGGGTTCTGCTTTCGAGAATATGACCTTATCTTCTAAGAAAACCTACTGAAATACTTATAGGAATTTAAGTGACGTTGAAAACAATCAAAAGATTCCAACGTCAGGAGGAGACCAGGTGGGAGAATAAACGAAATATGACTGGTTATAAATTGGGAACTGATAGTTTGGTGTAGGACACATGGGGGATGGGTCATTATACCAATCTCTCAATATTTATATATTTTTAAAATATACATTTGGATAGTCGCTAAAAAGTTTTTTTAAAAAACAGTTTTTCAATATAAATTTTCACCAAACTAAATGCAAACATCCAAGAGAGCATTTTTTTATGGCAATCTATCACAAATACTTTCCAACCACTAAATGGAAAGGAAAGATGACAAACTAAGTTATGTGAATTCAGTGGAAGTTAATAAGTGAACTCTGCTAGAAATTTAACAATCATCATTTTCCCTTTTATTTGTGTTATACAGTTTGTATCACTAATATAATGACTGACAAGATCCTTAATACTTGAATTTCTTCTGCAGTAAATGTTACCACCAGCTTACAAACTATTTTCTGTTATATCACTACATTACTGCCACAGCAGAATACAAAGCTGAAAAAATAGTATATGCATGTATATTTGACTCAGTAGATACACTGATGGAGTTTTCAAAATCACCATGAGATTTAGTGAATTCTTTTAGTATGTCCCTTCACCCTTATTCTTTCTAACTATGAACCAAAGGACTCTTGGTTCTGCGTAAGAGAAGGTGGCTCTGATGGCTCTGAGTAAGAGAAGGTGGGAGCAGATACTGACAGAATGAAATGAGTCAGTTGTGAATGATTGTTAACAGAGCTAACTGCAATTTAAAAACCTGTATAAAATGAGTCATCTCAGAAGCATAAATTGAGGGATCTCATTATCACCAAAGAAGAAGAGCCAATAGTGGAGCATGTCACTTTGGAACCAGACAGTCCTCTGCATTAAACCTCCTAGACCCCAGGAGAGGGAGTTTTGACACCAAAGAAATGGGAATGGAGCAGAAACAGCAGAACCGACAATCAGAGCAGGAAATGGAACAGTGGGCTTCCCAGCTGATGGAGGAAGTGCAGATCAGTGACCTGCGCAAAAAGCTTGCTTGCAGAGTAGGGTGACTCAAGACATTTAATTGAGAGGGCACAGTTTGCCTGCCCACAGAGCTAGAGTCAAGAGCCTTCAGGCTGAGGTTTATAGTGCAGTGTTATTTATATTTTGCAGGCATTTATCAGCATCATTAAAAGAGCTCTGTAACATTTGACAGGGAAAGCGCAGCCTGCCTATGAGCATGGCTGAGGAGACACTGTCCAGAATGGAACAACTGATCCCTGAGCATTTTCTGATCAAGGTCAACAATTCAAAATTACCAAGGGCTCTCAGAAATTCTATACAGGGTTGTTATGAGTCAGAATTGAGTTGACAGGACACAACATCAAAATACCATAACCAGTTAACTTCCCTGATAAACTCCATAACTTGAACATTGTCTCTGAGTTCCATGTGGCTATTCCTCATAGAAGCCAGCTGAATAGTCTGCTGGAAGAGATGTATGGTTTTGTGTCATTTTTGCAAAATGCAAACCCAGCATATGGTATATATGTACACATGTTTATATCTGTGGAAGAAGTACTAAATGAAGAGAAAACATCTATCTTGATTTTAAAATAGAATGCTTTCTTAGTAAATATTAAAGATAGTCCAGGATCTGAATGTTAAACAGGATTAAAGTTCAGAGTACTGATGTTTAAAAGGTACACTTACCACCTGTCCATTATGAGGGTTCTTATGAGCATAAGGAGGTCCACGGATGTGATTCCACATCTGGCCAGAAGTCATAGCAAAGACTATACACTGAAAAGCAGGGTACAATATTACAAAATGTAAACAGAAAAATAACAGAACATTGCAATTTTAAAATTAACGGTCATGGTGGTGGTGGCTATGTGTATGGAGTCAGTTCCGACTCCTAGTGACCCTGTATAGGGTTTCTGAAGCTGTAAATCTTTATAGGAACACAAAGTCTCACCTTTCTTCCGTAGAATGGCTGGTAGTTTCAAACGGCTGACCTTGAGGTTAGTAGTCAAGACTTGTAACCACTAAGCTACTAGAGCTCCTTTCTAATGGTCATAACTAACAATGCTCCTGCTGCTATTCGTAAGGTTTTCAGTAGCTAACCATT